TCGATTTCAAATGTGTCCATTTGTATTTGTGTGCCTATGCCTTCGGGTATGGGTGTTTTTGCAAAAACTTGTTTTGTCGGGTGGCGTTCATATTTGTTCTCTTTACAAATGCTACAATTTCTAGTTAGTCGGATTACATCATTTTTTATATTTGGCCAATAGCAAGTTTCTAGTATCTCTAATGTTTTTTTGCGTTTCTATGTGCTCTTTCATGCGTATGTTTAATTATATTTTCTCTATCCTCTTCACTCGTGATGCCCTTTAATAAATTTTGACAAAAAACCTTTTTCTCTATATTAAATGAAAAGTTAATAATATCATGAATTTCATACCAGGTTTCTAGTGTGTTACCTTTTTTAGAAACTGTCCATTTGGGTGAATTGTACGGGCTTTTGCTTGGCTGTATTATTTCATTATCTAATAATTTTTTTATTTCAGTTTCTACAAATGCTCTATCCGCTTGGGGGTATGGATACTGTCTGACCCAAATAGGATTATTTGTTTCTGTTCTGATTTCTGCCTCTACTGTAGTTACGTAGGGTAATATTTTACTCTGCCCATTTCTTTTCATTAATTCATTTACTTTTTTTTTATACATTTCTTCTCCTATCATATAATTTATTCTTGTTAATTTATTCTTTTTCACAATTAATACATTTCTTTCTGTATCTATCATTGCTTTCATTTGCTTTAAACCTTTAATTTCTATCAAGAAATTGAAATCTTGTAAGGTATCGAGTTCTAAAAATTCTATACTGAATCCTTTTATATTCACTCTCTTTTTATATTTAATTAATGATTTACCGTGTAAAGTAGCGGCTTGTTTTTTACTTTCTACCTCTATCCTTTTTGCGTGAGGGAATTTAGAATTTACATAATTTTCTTCTGCCCCACTATCAATTAAAATATACACTGAGTTACCTTCTTCTGTGGTCCTTACAAGCGTTGGTAATCCATGCCTTAGAATAAAAAATATTATTCCTGTTCATATTCTGTATTTGATTGTTGATCGTGTGTAATTTGGTTGATTCGTTGATTCTTCGGTTGTATATTAGCATGACTTGTATTATCTCGTTCTCGTTTGTATCCCAATGCTCCTGCTACTTTCTTAAATGGATTTTGATAATTCTGTCGATGGCGATGCTGTAGGCATCTGCTAATGTTGTGCAGGCTCGTGCATAGATGGCATTCTTGATAGCTACACTTCTCAGTCCAGTGACGAATGTTCTGATTGCCTTAGCTTGGATTTCTTGTGTCAATACTTGGACTATTCGTTCTTCCTTGTGTGTCATCTCAATCTTGGATAGCACTACATTCAATCTTTAAAGGTATATTGGTCGTTTGTCGGCATAGGAGTCGTCTAGCCTATCGATGATGTCTTGGAAGTTTCTCTTTACGTTGTGGTTGATCAGGATCTGTGCTGCTTTGCCAGTAATTTTTCCTCTGATCGTTATTAATGCTTGGGCATATATATTATGTCCTTCGTATTGTCGTAAGTCTTCCATTAATGTGGTTGCTACTTTCCTCCAATTCCTGTATTCGTTGTAAGCACCATTAAATTGTGTTATTGATTTAAACATATTCAGATCCACTTCTTCTGGTCTGGTGTAAGAACATATTTGTTCTGTTCGTTGTGAAATGGTTGCACTTCTTCCTAATTGTAGTTCGGATAACTGTCGTTGCAGATCGGCGACTGCGTTGGTTAATGCAATTAAATTTGCTTGTTCTGTCATCTTGCTGATTTATTTGTGGATTTATTTTACTAAAGATCGGTCTCCATTTGTATTCTTGGAGCGCTGCTTGATATGGTATTCTTTCTATGAAAGCGTGTTGTTTGCCAAGGATGGTATATTGATCCTTTACTTTCAATTTGTTGTCGTATTAGGATTTTTATGTGAATCTCTTTTGATTGACGTTGTGTGGGATGATGCACTGGTAAACTTCTTGGATGGTTTAAATGAATTCTTTTTTTGTTTCCAGGGACTAGGTTCTTTCCTTTCAGGCAGACTGACTAAGGATATTATTGATGATCCTTTTTTGTTGCTGCCCCCAAATAAATATATAATTTTAAGTCAGCCAATGAGACTGGTTCTGACTGATGCTTTATTTGTATAATATTTCACTGTATACACATGTACTTTAATATTGAATTTATTACACTTAAACTGTACAAGTGTTACAAGTGGTAACTTGTTACTCGGCAGTCAATAATGATAAAGTGACCCCGAGGCTATTGTTCCAGTTGCTTATATAGGCTATGATTATCGCTGCTCATGCTATTGAGATGCTGGTTGTTTACTAGTAAATAACTATTTGGTTTGTTATTGTTTGTTGTACTGATAGTGCGCTTCTATCGTTCTAAGATAAAGTTGTTTTGATGATTTTTCTTTAATGTTTACTGAAACATAAGGTTGTGGTTAAAGGTTAAAGTATTAACTCGCTCGAACTGCGATATTAGCCTCGTTTTATGTTGACGACTTCTTAACAAGTTGTGAAAGCGTTACCGAAGCAGTTGAGCTGGCTAAGAATGCGGACGCCATATTATCTGCGGGACAGTTCAACCTTAGAAAATGGAACCCCATGCGTCGTCACTTTCTAGTTATATTTTCCATTCTGGTCAAGCTTCCGTTTTGGGCTTAAGATAGGGCGCGCTGAAGGATCAGTTACTCTTTCACGTCGATCTATGTAAAGAGCAGAAATTCTAACAAAGCGTCGGGTACTCAGCGAGTTGGTACGACTCTTCGATCCTACTGGATTGTTATCGTGATATCGTAACAGAGACAATATTCATTCAACGGCTGTGTTCTGTGGGTCTATCCTGGGACTCACCATTACCTGAGGATCTTTGCCGCGATTGGCTAAACTATCGGCCACAACTTCTGGAGCTCAATCAAATTCGCATCGAGCGGTGGATGGGACTGATTCCACGCATTCAGACATCATTTCACTGGTTTTGCGATGCTAGCTCACACATTTATGCAGCAGTTATTTACGCGAAGACGTCGAACACAAACGGTTCGATGCGTTTCACACTTCTGATGGCACGCACCAAGGTGGCATCACTCAAAACTGCTACCATTTCACGCCTAGAACTTGCGGCAGCGCTCCTTCTTGCCGAGACCAGAACTTGCGAGATTTTGGGATTAGTTGACGTTCTCAACTATCTGTGGTCGGACTCAGCAATCGTATTTTGTTGAATGAGGAAGGATCCAGCTACACTTAAATTATTCATATCAAACCGATTTCTGAGAATACCGGAACTGACATACCCCGCCCGATGGCATCACATTCGTTCGGCTCAGAACCTAGATGATTGTGCCAGTAGAGGCATCACACCCGCCGAGCTATTAGTACATCCCCTTTGGTGGCATGGACCTAAGGAAGCAAAGCTGATGTATTCGGACAGTAGTGATGTTCCTCTCAGCAAGGATTAGTCAAATGTCTTACTCGCCGAAAACCGAAATACAATCAAATTTATTGTACTCGTTTCACATCCGTTATATACTCGTCGTCCAAACGGCCACACTATTTTGTTAACTGAACGGTTTAGTAGTTTCACTCGATTGTTAGGTACATTGGGCATTATCTGGCACTGGTTATGAAGGCGTCTACACTTTCGTCAACCGGTGATCGTTGCTCAGGAAATGGAAGACTCATTATACACTATAATTCGTTTAGAGCAAGAGGAACATTTTGTAGATGAAATTCGCCAATTGAAGTTTAGTTCAGGTTTGTCATCTCCCAGTCGGAATAATACCTTTAAAACCATTTATAGACAAAAACCGAATCCTCAATGTCGGGGGACGCATCCACCAGGCCGAGCTAGGGCATGATTCACGATTTCCGATTATTCTGCCTAAATCAACGCCGTTGGTCCAGCTTTTACAAAATCAGGCGCATAAGGTTACACTGCATGGAGGCACGCAACTCATGCTGTACACTTTTCGTCAACGCTTCTGGTTTCTGAGTGCCAGGCAAGCAGTCGATCGTTTCATCTATAACTGTGCTGTATGCCACCGTTATAGAGGAAACTTCTGAAGCAACAAATGGCTTCCTTACCCGGGCAGAGGATCAGAGCAGCAAGGCCGTTCATATCATCTGGTGTCGATTACTGTTTGCCTTTCACACTACGAACCGGAACGAAACGCTCTCAAACGCCTATTACACCACTCTACGATGATCCTGAAGAGAAACTTGCATAAACGCCAGGTGATTTCCTGATTGGGCCGCCACTTCTAGCGGTCCCTGAACCAGATATCAAACATATTCCTAGCAACCGGCTGAAACAATGGCAATGGATAGCTGATGCAATGGTCTGCAATGCCACGTTGAGAACCGCTAAAGGATACATGAAACGAGCTATCCAGAAACTATGTCTATGGATAAAGAAGGAGAATTTCGAGTCAATTGACCCGACCGGGCAGGATGTTTATTATTATTTACATTAGTTTAAGTTTATTTTCTAATAATGTCAAGTCTGATCTGGCAATACTGTCTTATCTAAGTTTTGTATTTGTCATCTTTCTGTTATCATTAACTTTCTTTATAATTATCTTTGTTTATGCATATTTAAAATTACGGTATTTTAAATTCCGTTGAACTTCTATAAATGTAGGAGGACATGTGTGTACGAAACTCTTTTCTGATTGTAACTCGGTGCTGATTGTACTCGTCTCTGGTTTGGTGTTAAGCAAACCGTTCACAATCGTACAAATCCCAATAAAACATTGAGCGTTAAAACATTGTATTGAAACAGAGCGGCTCGTTAATCTTTGCCTGCTTTTTACTATAGAAAGACATAACTTGAAGGTTTAAACACCATGCCAACCTTGAAAACCTATGTTGAATCTCTCTTACCAATACTTCGTCTGAACAACTTCACTCCATCCAAATTCTATTGCTCTGAAATAATTTAATGTCGTTCTGCTAGAGACATATTATGGATAAACTTTCGGCTTCATTTACAAGTTTGGAATTGCCTAACCATTGAAACAACTGACAAGACTTTGTTGGATTGGCCAAATCTTATCTGTTATTAAAAATTTTACAATAGTCTCAAACCGTAGTAAGTTCTGCACCGACAGAATTTACTTTCTTTAATATTTATGCCTCTCCTTCAGCGCCACCCGTTTCGGAAGAACCGGCTGTATGCAGATATTTCCAAGCTAACGGTACTAAAATTGAAGCTGGCACATGTGCAACGGGGTATATCCAAAATGCCGTCCAAATATTTGTAAATATGGCCGGTGGTAAGGAGCGTGCCAAGTTCATGCTGGCGCCGGTATAAGGTGCCTATTAAAACAGATTTCTTTAAATGCTTGAATACAATTTATTGTTCTCAAATTTACCGCCGCAAATAAAAGACCGGCAATTAAGAAGCCAAAACGTAGAGGTAATGTATCATGAACCTGCAGATTGCGTTTATCCCAGACGCCACAACAAAAATACACAAGTATGGATGTTAAGAAAAACTCAATCAAGATCGATTGCCATATTTCGATACCAAGTGCTGGCTTTGTGGTGCAAAAACTTTCGGTTCGTACATATGTCGTTAGGGAAACGAATAGCAGTGCATAACCGGTGAATCCGCCTAGAAACTGACTAAATACATAAAAGCAAGCCAATTGCCATTCCATATTGCCAAGCATAACGGCCGCTATGGTAACGCTCGGATTGATGTGCGAGCCGGAAATTGTGCCGAATGTATGCACGGAAATGTGCACGGCCAGTCCAAAGCCAATTCCGATCATTGGCAAGTTTCGTTCATAAAATGGTAATGTAATACCCACCATAGATGCACAGCCGACACACATGAGAATCGCAGTGCCGGTGAATTCGCTGACACACACCATCAACAAATGCCTATCGAATTTCATTTTAAGATATGCTTTCACCGAGTATAATACACCAAATTTGAAGTGAAAATATCTATATTAATAAAAATTTATAATAGTATATATTTGACCGTTCGAATGTTGTTGACAGTCACGAAAAAATAAACAAATAAACTGATAAATTTCCCACTCGATATTCAAAAAACAAAAATGCTGAGTTCATACGGCAATAATTTAAATATCAGAGTTGTTTACTCTTCGGCAGATTTCGAACCTTCGTTAAGTAGAAATTTATGAACGAGTGCCATCAAAATAGCGGCCGGAAACGTTGTTACATGATATATCCAATTATTTGACCAATACCAATTGAATAGAGCACCAGCTAAGCTCTTGGCTGAGTTCATGCTTAAACCGCTCATGTAACCCTGTTGAAGAAGAATTCTTATTTAGTGTTTCTAACAAAAAGATTACAATCAATTTTTGTTAAAATATTATAATATTATATTCTAAAAATATAATTTTAGATAAATACGATTAATGGTTGGGAGAAATTGAAACTTTTATCACGGCGCGTGCCACTTTTTGGTGGAAATTATCTCTGCCCGTAGAGCACACCAAACAGTGACTTTTTAAGGATATAACGGCATCTCAACAATGGCTTGTAATAATCCACAAACTCCAAATGTGTAAATTTTCTTTATTAACGTACCCATTCAGCCAAAAGTGAGATATATATTTCAGTGAACGTGCGACGCGCTTGATGGCGATCGGTTTCTTCATTACGACATGGCAAACCAAACTTAGTAAAAGTAAGTAACAGCACTAAAAAAGACCAACCCTGAAAAAATTATTGCATCATTGAAAACCACACGTCTAAAAAAACACCCATTATAAATATCTTGGACATGAAGCAAAAAGTAGTAATGAAACTAAGTGAGTATATGACCTATAGTAATTAAATACGATTTAAGTTTTTTAGAATCTTAATAATTGCTGAAAATAGTATGCATATTTTCATTAAAGTCGGTTTAGTCGTTCTAGAGTTATAAATGGTAAAACAAACCTGTCATTATATACTTAGTCCTGCCAAAAGTTCTGTTACAAGTTCAGGCCGATATAAAAATGAAACTATAATAAATTTCTTTATAAAATTAGTTTTATTTAATAATGTACAAACTTTTATTCGAAACGGCAGCACTCTCAGTTTCTTTGGTATTGACGACGCTGCTCGAATTAAACATTTTTTGAGGCTCTCCGAATTTCTGTGAGGTATTTGACAGTTCATCTTCTCCTTTCTGAACACAAATTGTAATCGAATTCATTCAAATTGGGATTTTCAGACGGCCCATCATCTGCAACTATGCAACCAGGAATATTGCTTTGAAGCCACTGCTGGGAGTTATGAATGTTCCTATCAAAAACTGCTGACACCATTACTATTTGTTGCACGTGCACAAACATCTAGCTATGGATACTGCAACACAATAGACAACAGGCGTTTCATGGAATTGCCACAGCAGAGTAAGACGAGTATTGGTCGGTTTAAATTAAGTTATGTTGTTTTGAATATGATTAATAAAAATAAACAGATCGCAGCTTATTAATTTTTAACTGGCGCCCGACCAGGGACCAGCAGTGAAAAATTGTAATTGTGCAAAAAAAGTAACAAAAAACAAGTAAGGAAGGACTAAGTGACGGTGTGACCGAACATATCATACTTTTTCAACTTAAAAGGATCAAAGCCGGGGAAACACCTTCAGCTGCTTCCATTCCGAACGTAAAATTTAATGTCTTTGACACATTTAGTTATAGATTTATCGCACTTTTAGTAGTTATCATCCAATTTCACCTATTTTCATACTGTTGCAAGATGTGTCGAAATGATTTGTCTTGTGAAAATTTGGGTGCTATACTTTGAATGGTTTGGGAGATATATACTTGAAACCAATTAGAGGCCAAGGCCACGCCTACTTTTTTAAAAATTTCAAACCACATATTCCCCTCGTTATTGCGATTTATTGTATCATATTATAGTTTTGCATCTTAATTTGCGGTTTAGTTATGGCAATTTATAGGGATTCGATTAATGGTGTTTTAAGGGAGTGGCAGTGCCCCGATTATGCCCATCTACGAGCTCTCCAACATTTTCGATTCGACCAAGAAACACGTGTACAAAGTTTCATAACGATATCTCTATTTTTACTCAAGTTACAGCTTGCACGGGCAGACGGACGTACGAACAAACAGACATCTGGATTTTAACGTTTGGTCATCCTAATAATTTGTGTATATTGTATATACACCTATTTCTACTTCGGATAGATTTAGGTGATACAAACAACCGTTAGGTGAACAAAACTATTATACTTTGTAGCAACATGTTGCAACAGTATAAAAAGAATGTGAAAATGGCTACAAGTTCAGATGAAGCATCAGCTCGACTTATTTTGGTACATACACTCAGTTTGAAAAGAGAAATAAAAATTTTAAATTTATAAGTAAAAAATTTTGAAGACGTGCAAAATGTGTGAAGAATATGGTAAGTTTTGGCGATCATTTGACATTATAAGATTCTTATTACGTGAGTTGGCGAGAAGCCGTAAATAATACTATGATTTATCTTTAACTAATTACGGTACAGTCCTCAATTTCGAGACAATAATTAGCCGATTAGATTTCGCATGTGCAGACACGAGACTCTGCATATCTTTGAACTGGAATTAAACTTTTTAAAGCAAAAAAATATAAACTTGATTGACTATTATAATACAATAAATTATCAATTAACTTTAATGATTAATAAAACTATCATGACATATGGTGATAATTTGGAAATTACCAAAGAACATAACAAAAGACATTGCGCTGATGCATTAATAGTTTTCATTATAGAACTAACAAACAATATCCTAATAATTTGAGATTTAATCAAAGGCCCTAACAGTTTAATAATAACTATAATAATAGTACCTTCGGATGGCGAAACAAATCTCAACAAACCCTCAGGGAAATAGATAGTTCCGATTAATTTAGACAACCAACTAGTCTAAATCGGTTTAGACAACAATAAAAGAAGTCGTGAATCAATCAATAGCCTTCAGCTTCCGTAAAAACATCAAAGAATCAACAACATCCAAGAAAGTGCTTTTTTAAACAAAGCAGCATCCTTCTCTATATATTCAGAAAATTACGAGGGATAAATACAATACAGTGGGCACATTTTTGATCATATAACACGATTTTATGAAGTTAACAATTTGCAAAGCGATATGCTAATAGAGATGAATTTACTCAGTAAAGAAAGAATACAATTAAATCTTAGAGATAACACATTTTTAACCCATAGTAGTTATCATAAAGAGGAAGTCTATACCTTAGCGAAATAGTATTAGGAACATCAAATAATAACGGTGCGTGAGTCGTGTCAAGCTGTCATGTTATTTTTGTTCAATATTGTTTGACATTTCACCATGGAAAGGCTTACGCCAAAACAACGTTTATAAATCGTTCAACTTTATTACGAAAACTCACGTTCAGTAAAGAATGTGTTTCGTGCACTCCGCTCAACTTATGGTCGACATAATCGGCCTACTGATCGTACTAGTCACAACACCATCGCCCATCTTGAGACCCAGCATTCATTAATACATTAAGACCGTTGAGAGTCGATTCGGCGCCATTCGTAGCAACTCTGGCTGACGTTGGGTTCTTGAAAAGTTCCAAGAAGATGCGACGTTTTCGAGAAAAATTTTGTTCGGCGATGAGGCTCTGTTTTGGCTCAATGGGTATGCCGCATTTGGGACGAAGAGCAACCTGAAGAGATTCAAGAGCTGCCATTCCATCCAGAAAAACAACGGTTTGATGTGGTTTGTGTGCCGGTGGAATCATCGGTCCATATTTCTACAAAAATGATGCCGGTGAGAACGTAACCGTCAATGGCGACCGTTATTGGGCCATGATAAGTGACTATTTGATGCCTAAAATTGAAGCTCGTGATCTCGGCGACATTTGGTTTCAACAAGACGGCGCCACTTTCTACACATGGCATCAATCAATGGATTTATTGAGAGAATATTTCGGTGAGCAGATAATTTCACGTTTTGGGCCAGTCGATTGGCCACCAAGATCGTGTGATATCACACTGTTAGACTTTTTCCTGTTGGGATATTTATAGTCTAAAGTCTATGCGGACAATCCAAACCATTTCTCTTGAAAAATCCGACTTTTTTCTGACAAGTGTTGAATTTATATATAGAAGGGGCAACCTTAATATATAATAATGACACATAAAAATTAAGTATAAACTATTAAATAAAAATATTCTATACCAGAAACTTTACGACAGTGAAAAAGTTTTCTGGGAATGATTGGTGTGAAATTACGCACACATTACAACATCATTAATTAAATGTTTGCAAGCAGAAAATGGTAGAATACCGAAAACCCAATCAAAGAAAGCAATAATAGAATTAGATGATGAATCTTTTAAAGCGAGGGCGAGATTAAATAATGATTTAATACAAAAGGTTAAACTCACTTAACCAGATTTTAACAAAAAATGTATATTAACTACTGATGCATTAAACGATGCCAAAGGAACCGTAATGTCACAAGCCAAAAAGCCAATAATCTTTATTTCTAAAACTGATCTGGAAATTCATCCGGATCATCAACCTCTTACTTTTGCTGTATCTCCTAGAAATCCAAATGATTTTTTGAATTTTTCATACAGATATAATTGCTATTGATGTAACTAACGAAAAGGACCAAGAAAACATAATAAGACAAATACATACAACAGCGCACAGGTGTTATAAAGAAAATTTAAAACAAATTTGAAGGATTACTACTGGCCACTAATGAAGAAACAATTTAAACAATTTGAAAGAAATTGTGAGATTAGTAATAAAAATAAATATGATATAAACCCAATACGGGTACTGGAGAGGCTTAAATTCAGGAAAAAGTGAGTAGATTCTTCGCATCAAATTTAAAATTCCTGACATTGCATATTCCAAATTTTTAATAGGGTAACATATCGAAGACAAAACTAACCTAACAGAATAAGTATTGGAAGCCCTATAAAGTTTACCAAAAGTAAAAAAAATATTTCATGCGACAATGAACCAGGATTCAGCTTAGTTCAATTTAAATCTTACGAGAATTAAAATGAATTACTGCAACCCTAGATATTCAACTATGAACGGACAAACAGAAAGAATTCACTCAAAAATAATTGAAATTGCAAAATGTCTAAAAGAGAAATTGGAATTAATAAATGATGTTGAAATAATAATAAGCGTGCATAATCGTATAATCAAACTATTCAATCTGTAACGGAAAGATTTTCTTTTTCTTTTAAAATTTATATAATAAAATTAAACATATTCAATGAAAATCTAACTATTTGTGAAAAAGGAAATAAATTTTACGGGAAAACAAAGCCTAGATATAATAAATAAACAGTTAAACAAGATTTAAGAAATAAAGTAATGACTAAGGGAAAAATAGAATTATTCGCAAGGATAATATAAAATCTTAACTCTTCTAAGTAAAACACAATCATACAGATTATCATTCTCTTGTTGATATTACCTCTAATCCAGCCCAGATAAAAGTAGTGGATTTGAACCATGGCGAGGGCTATTCACAACTGAAATTGAATGAAGTTAAACTAATCGAAAGATTTAGAATAACATACTTAGTAAATACAACAATGTACAAAGGTCACGTACCTAAATAATTTGGAAAAATTAATTTTGGAAAAAACCAAATCCTTTACTAATTGCTAAACTCAAAACTATCAGTATTCAAATTGGTACTTTAACTCCACATCAATAAATTATTAAAAAGTTTAATATATATTGAAACGTAATTAGAATAAAGAAAATAGTAATGACTAGCCAAACAGTTTGTTAAGTATAGATATTATTGCAGATGAATATATAACTAACTTTAATGTGACTTTCGAACAACTAAAAGAAATAAAAATTATAATTGCTGCTAATTAGTAAAATTACCTCAATTTGAAAAAACATGTATCAAAAAATTCATTCCACCACCAATACCAAAATGCAAGACAAATGGAAATTTGTATTAAATAAAACGAAATATTGTCCATTGATGAAATGACTTATAAGAAGACTAAATTTAAAGAAGTTTTACGAAAATATGAAGATAATTGTATTGCAAATATGTTTAAAGGAAAAATGCACTGCAACTATGTAAAAAACAATAAAACCAAAGCTATTGAACTAGATACGAATCATATATTATATAAGTACGTTCAAGTATAGCGTGACTCACACATCTAACCGGATGCGTGCATTGCCAATGATGGTACCATCTAATCATAAAGTCAAAATCTAAGAAATGTCACATACATCAAATTAAAGGAAAAATCTTCTATTTAATTTTTGGAAACTTAAAAATAGTAATAAATTAATTCCACGCGCAAAACTTAGCAATATAAGACGCAACATACAAAACTCGTTCCACATAATTAACCGGAAAATCCTAATAAATAAGCTTTTACAAGGAACGGTATTTTGAGCGTTGTGGAATTTCAGCTGAACAAATATTGAATGTACTTTTCTGCATATTAGTACTTATCGGCAAGTCTATGGGCAAGCAACTAGGATAATATGACGCCCCCACGCACTCATACTTGTACCGAAATTCAAATGCTAATTATTCCGTTACGGGAAGAAGGAAAACCATTAAAGATATTTCGGAAATTGTGAAGAGGAGTACTTCAACCGTCTTCGATATTATAAAAAGTATGAAAAGGAAAATAGGATTAATAATATTAGTAGAGCTGGTCAAGGAACGAAGCTAACACAAGCCGAAGAAAAGTTCGTAGTCAAAATTGTTGAAAAAAACCCCTTTTTCTCGACGGAAAATGTAAAAAATATATTGGAAAATGAAAAAGGGAAGAAGGTTTCAGCTGAAACAGTTCGTCGTACCTTTAGAAGCTTCGATTTACACGGTAGAGCAGTTATAAAAAGCCGTACATACCCGAAAAAAAATAGAAAGAAAAAGCTAGAATTTGCGAAATTGCATTTAAAAAAGCCTGAAGAATTCTGGCAAAGGGTAAATGGCGTAATTTTAATTTGATAATCATTATAACAGTATTATATATTCGTTTTTAAGGTTCTTTTCACAGCCGAAAGCAAGTTTAACTGATGGACGCAGTTTTGTATGGCCAAAACATACTAGGGCAACTCTTAAGCACGGTGGTGCATATGGGTCGGTAATGGTTTGGAGATGTATATCGGCTAAAAGACCGGGCAACCTCCATTTTGTGCAAGGTATTATGAATCGTTTCCAATATGTTGACATATTAAAGGAAAGTGTATATAATCAATGCTACAAACGAAATTGTTTATCACAATTGTAATTCAAACAACCTTAACATAGATGGAAATTATTAAATTATGTTTGAAAATTCGATGTTAAAGTAATGGAAACCTTTTACAAATATAAAAAGTACGTGTTGCATAACATTTTTTTATTAACTTATGCAATTATAATTATTTGTGTATTTTATGCAGTCTTTTTGTTTTTTTCTTTGATATTAATTCAAGTTTTTTCTTGTATTATTAAATTTAACGCTACAAATTACAGTTAATAGCCTTAGTATCATTAGTCGTCACTATTATAATAATTTGGAAATTCAAGAAGAATAGGAAAAACAAGGTGGAAGTAAATATTAAACAAGAAAAAATGTTAACTTTGCTTGGACCGAAGCTATAGTACCCTCCATAAATACAAAATGTTCCTTAGAAGAAATTTATTCCAATCGTTCAGTTTGTATGACAGTTATGTATATGCTATAGTGATTTGATCTGAATCTTCTTTCTTCGGAAATTGCATTACTGCCTTAGATAATCCATTCTAAATGTCGTGAACATTACAGCTTGTTGGTGAGAAAACATCAGGTGCAAAATTTCAGATCGATATCTCAAAAACTGAGGGACTACATCGCATATATACAGACAGACGGACACTCAGCTCAGTATGCTGATCATTTATATATATATTTTATAGAGTCTCCGACGTTTCCTTCTGAGTGTTACAAACTTCATGGCTAACTTAATATACCCTGTTCAGGGCATAACAAGTTCTTACACAACCTGTTAAACAACCAATTGACATCGCTGATTTAAATGAAAGGGTAAATTACTACTCATCTTTGAATCGAGACGATTCATTTAACAAAGGGGGGAGTTATGAATGATACAACTTTCCTACCAAAAACTGTTGACACCATTAATATTTGAGGCACCTGCACTGCAATATCTAGCTACGGTCGGTTAGAATTAAGTTATGTTATTTTGAATATCACAGCTTATTAATTTTTTACTCTAGGTGGTTTTTGCCTTGTGTGCTGGAGCAGAATCTCCCTGGCCTTCTCCAAGCCTCTCCAGGGAAGAGCTTTGAAAATTTGTTCATCTGTGTAAAGGATACAACCATAACGTTGAGCGTGTGTCACTGAAGAAGCCGCTTGCATCTGTTGAGCCTAACTTGCTTTAAGCGGGTTTTAAGAAAATTACCAGTTGACTGACGGTAGGCTTTCATGTTGAGATCATTGCGAATAAGTCTTGATATTGATCTAGTCAATATATCCATTTTCTGTTTTCTAAGGGGATTTCTGCGAATGCGTTCGCGAACAGTATTTATGCTGAATTGGTTCGAACGACGCGAGAACGAAAACCTTACTTCCAGTCATCAACTGTGGACATTCTCGAAATTAAGTTTTTTGGTAAGCTCATAAATTTCACTTGCACTTTTTCCACACTTATGTAAAGCAATCCGTAACAGGATTTATGGCAAGACTAGTTAATTTGTATATGATATATATAAACTAAAGTTCACAAACTTAGTCGATTGTGTTGAATTTACCAAACAAACAAAATCGTATACTGTAAAAAAATATATTTTTATAATATCCCAACGTATTTATGTCAAGTCAACGCTTCTAATACAATTCGTTAGACGTATCGAGATGACACTTATAAAATCTTTAATTTCTCAAATATTAGGACCTATACCGAGGATATTAGGGGTAGATCACCTCCACAAAATCAAACTTACCCAACTTTTAATGACTTATTCATATATAAAATTGTTATCTCAACGAGTAATTGACAATTGAGATTGTTTCACAATTGGACTCTACTCACCGCGCAAAGTACAAGTGAAATCATTACCGCGCCCATACGTAATGATATGGATTCCTGAATGCCTTGAGCGCGCTTATCCCAACAGGTGCACTGGGCCAACACCCACGCTGAAGTCATGAGGAATTCTAAAAAGCAACCACCGAGAATAGAGGTCTGTGGTGACAAATCAGTTACACAATAGAGATCTGATCTCGTCATTGCCGGTGTTGTGTAATAAGCCAGTACCAAACCGAGCATCGTACCTAAGTATTGCATAATCACATAAAAAATGGCCAAATCCCACTTCAGTTGTCCCATAATGACGCCGGCAACTGTTAAACATGGATTCATGTAGGCGCCAGATACACAACCGAATGTCTGTATGATTATCATCAATGCGCAGCCGTCACAGAGACCATACGACATTACGCCACCTTCGGCTACTAACGGATCAAAGCCATAACAATGTAACTGCATCCACATCGAAGCGGCACAGAATTCACCAAAAATTTGTACGAAGAAAAGCTTGTTGAACTTCATTTGATGGACGAGGAATACACTTTGCAAAAAATCAAGTTATACAAAAAACTTGTAGGTTTTTATTACATCGAGATAATGAACAATAAAAGAATATAGAATTTATGAAGCGAATTGTTTGATGAGAAAGTGAAAAAATATATATGTACATTTGACATATGATTACTATTTGACACATTGAAGATCATTTCTTCTACTACTTTAAATTGTGTGTGAAGGCATTGCTTGAATGACACGCGCAGATGCAGGCTTGTATGTATGTAGTATGCACCGATATGCAGGTCTGCTCCGAATATATCGCTACCATTATTTCACTATTTTATTCCACACTTTAACTTTTTCGAGAGATGTGTTTAATCAGATGCTAATTCTATATGATTATACTCGTAGTCATCTCTTTTCGTTCAACTCCCGCTCCACCATATCCCGCTTGAAAATCACTTTGTAAAACGTGGCGCTAAACGCTGCACTGAGCATTGGCGCTGCCCAGTATACCCAATGATCCTGGTAATCAGAAGTCCAGACAGCTGAGGCAACAGCTTTGACAGGGTTCAGCATAGCACCAGTGTATTGACCCTAAAATTTGTATTTGTATTAAGAAAGTTTATGTTTGTATACGTATACCCTATGTTTTAGTTAGAACTTACCCCCGCGAGACTAAGGCAGGTAACGGTTAAGCCGAAGCGAATCGGCAATGAGTCTTGAAATGTAATGTTTCGTGAATCGGCTGCACTACAGGTTGTGAATATCAGCATCGCAGTGAGAATGAATTCAATCCAAAATCCTTGCATTATTGTAATTTGTGGATGTGGTGTAGCAACGCAGACGCCATGCGCGGCACCGCCCAACTTCACGGCACTGTCTGGTATTAGTGCCATCATAAGAGCGTAACCGATAAAAGCACCAAGAAGTTGTCCCAGAAAGTAAACGCCCGCCATTGTTAGTGAGATCATATCGTAAATGTAAACGGCCAATGTGATGGCGGGATTCAAATGTGCTCCACAAATGCAACCGAAACAATGTACGATAACCATCACTACTAAGCCAACGGTAAATGCCGACTGAAATACGCTGTGTTCGAAGCTGGCATTATAGGAGCATCCCATACAGCCGAGAAATACCAACATTGCGGTGCCGATAAACTCGCCGAGAAACTGGCATATGTAATCAAAGGTACTTACATCTATATTCAATTTTTTCAAGCAACTGAAAAATAAAGAGTGGTTCATTAGTAGTTTACTACCGCAAAAAATGCATAGCTTTAATGTCTTTTTCCTACCAACTATTTGAATCGAACCGTTTATCTACACAATTTAAATCGAAATGGAATACTACTGTATAGGTTCTCAAAAGATTGCAGCCTTCATCTCAAGTTTACGCGAAAGCTTTTTCAGAAATCATTGATGTCGTTAACATAGTCATGATTTCTCAAGTTCCACTTAACCCACACCGCAATTTAGTGAAAAAAAAAAAATTTAGTTAGTATGACAGCAACACTTATCTAGATAATCTTGTATTTTTTACTGGATGGAACTTTAATTTGGATGGTTAGAGTAGTTTTCTAATGAATGGCACCACTTGATAGACTTTCTTAAAATTTCAATTGTCACTTGATTATCCCATAAAAATCCTCAGTTTTAATTTATAAAAGCATTTTTAGTTTTACAAACCTATTCTGATACACTCACACAACTCACCGTCGATATTTGTGAGATTGGTGATAACTGTGCTAAGTAAGGACTTTTTAAAATAGATAATATATTTTCTTTAAAATAAATCTATTAATTCTTCCGTCGCAGTTCATTTGAGAGTTTTCTTTAGCAGAGAGTTGTTAGTCTAATAGTACTCTTCTGTTGTTGTCGCGATTGTTGCTCGAATATACACAAATATTCAATCTAAAACAAACCTTCTTGTCCACCGAATTGGCTGTGGCTCGAGAACATATGTCGGTTGTTGTAAGGATTCTACGCCCATTGTATTTGAATTTTAGTACTATGATGGAAACAAAAAACAACGTGCACCGCGGTTGAAATGAAATTGAAAACTGTACTATAAAAACTTGCGAACGAGAGTAAATTTAAAGCAGCAAACAAACCGATCGAACAATTTCATCAACCAATATTTTCAGCTGGTGCAACGGTGTATCCATACTTATAGCCGTAATATTTACACATTGTCTGCTGTACTAAAATTTTTAAGTGTTTAGTAGTTAAGTTTTGCGTAGCTTTTGAGTTTATTTCAATTTAATCTCTACCATTGTAATGGAGAGTTCTATATCACATACATTAGATTGGTTCGAAAATTACACAAATTTATTCGCAGTCAGTTGCCAATCAGCTAGTCTTATGTTCTCAGACGATGTTTCTATGAAAACGTTAAATAAAATACCTACAAATGTTGTTTGCTAAACAAATAAAAAAATATAGAGACAAATCGTGAATATTTTCGTGTGATCTTCATTATATTCACGTGGTAATGAGAAAATAGAATTCAAATCATCAAATATAAAATGCACAAAAAAAAAATATATTCGTCAATGTCATAGCGAGTAAAATGTGGGGAATAGTGTATTTATTTCGTGTGGATTTTACTTTAAATTACTTTAGGATTACCTTAATATTTAGTGATATTTTATGAGTGGAAGCGGTGATCACATCAATTGAAAAGAAAGGCATTGTAACGCATATTATATTTTATTTTCATGGCTTATACTTATTACTTGTTTACCTGTCTAATTATAAGTAGCCAGTCAAGTATTAGATAACTGCTTGCTTAATAATTTCAAACTAAAATTTTAAAATTGGTTTAATTAGTTGCTCTCGTCGTGCTAATTTTTCATTGGTAAGAACTTTTGAGGTTGTTGTCAAGTTTATAAAATGGGCATTTTATTTCGGTACTTGTAAGCAAAGTAATTATTGCTTTGATTTCTCTCTGTAATTTCTAACCACTTCCACAAATGTAGTAGAAGGGTCTTAATAATAGGTGATCGGTTTAAATACCCTTGTTTTGGGTTTTTTATAGGAATCAGTTCCTTGACATTGTCTGAATATTATGGCATATTCATACAAAAATTGTATACAAAATTTTCTTAAATAATTGTTCAATATCACGAACTTAACACCTTAGCATCTGACTGGATCAGATACTCTGCTATCTCAGATTTCTCTAAATCTGTCCAATACAAGTATGTTCACGTGTATCATTTTCCTGAATATATTTTAAAACTTTGTTGTAGTAATACTTGTAGAAGACATGTCTATAGTGGTACTTTAGGGCAAGTGGACTACTTGAAATGAGTACTCATTTTGAAAATAAAAGGAATGCAGGAAAACAAACAATATAATATTATATATAAGTATGCATGTACAATATACTTCTATATAACCAAATTGCATCATTATCTAACCAATTGTGAATAAAAGCGTACGTATATATGTATACATATATACTTGCACTTGGCTAAGATTTTGCTATACAGAAACTATTTTGGTTGATTTTACCTTATTTGCTACAGAACATCATCAGCTGTAGGGAAGAGGAGTATATTAGTAGAACGAAGTCAAATAATGTTAGTAATTAAATAAGAAAAAACGTTAAATTCGATTGTACCGGAGCTATAATACCCTTCACCAATACAAAAGATTCCTTACAAGAACTTGATTTTGATCGACCAGTTTTTATAACATCTACAAGTATATGCTATAATGATCCGATCTGAACAATTTCTTTGGAGATTGCACGGCTCAGCTCGTGATGTTGATCATTTATACTTGTATATATACATATGGTATATTAAATAGGGTCTCCGACGTTTCCTCCTGTGTGTTACAAACTTTGAGGCAAACTTAATATACCATGCTCAGGGTATAAAAAGTCAGAAAACAATTAAAGATAACCTAAACTGTGACGAACAAAACACTATAAATACATATACTTACATATGTAACTAAGATCTATATAATAATATATAGAAACTCGTGTGAAATATTTGTGATGAAGGAAAAGTTAGGAGAACTACAAATACTCATTTCGAAGTGTATTTATATACCATATTCCCTATTGAATGAATGAATTAAACAAATTACGCCGTTGCATAGTGAATATCTCTCAAAACCAGAGTTTTTGCGTAATAAGTCTAGGCTATGGATGATCTGTTTACGTCATCTATTCTGGTGAAATGTTGCTTAGTGGAAATCATGAACCTCCATAAAATCTTTGAAGTTCTGTAAAATCGTATCAACACATGGTGTATTCCGTTCAATATCCACTGTAAGAGGAAGTGCTCTTTAATTTTCCTATAGATGTGAAGAAAGCGTTCAAGTACACTAGATCACTTTCAAACATAGAGTCTAGGTTATTAGTGAACAAACGCTCTGCAGGCTACACGTTTTTAAGAAGGAGGCATCGTCGAATCTATACAAATTTATTGTTGAATCTATTGTACGAATTTCTTTTTGGGTGTAGCCGAACATTAAGTATTCTCATTTTTTTGTAGGAATTAAAGGTGTAAAAAATATTTGGAGATGTTTGCGGACTTTCTTTTAAAAAAATGATATGTTTAAACAAAAGTCAACTAAGTATAGGGACAAAAATTACCATCCAATTTTTCTGAGTTATACTTGTAGGATGTTACAGTATAAAATTAAACAAAGGAATGAAAATCAAGATACTGGTATTGGAAATCTAGTAGAATGTAAGCGTCGATTTAATTAAGTTTTAATATTAGTTATGTTATTATATCACATTATATGAACTGTAAAGTATTCATCAAAGTAAATACTTGTAACGTCAAGGACGTAGAAAAAATATGTTTCTTGCATGATGGATATGCAGACTTTTCGAAATCGAAATGTCTGTCTGCCCGTGTAAGCGATAAGTAGAGTAAAAATTAAGATATCTTGATGAAACTTGGTACACATATCCTTTGGCACCAAAGGGAGGATGGTATTGCAAATCCGCGGAATCGAACTATTGCTAAGCTCACAAAATGCCATTAAACGAAAACTTTTAAAGTGCCATAACTAAGCCCTAAATTAAAATACGGAACTCAAATTTGACACAACGGATCTAATTAAAGAGGTGCATCTGTGGTTTGAGAAATTTCAAAAAGTAGGAGGCGCCCTGTCACTCAATACGTTTAATGTATATATCTCCCAAACAAATAAAGCTATATCACTCAAATTTGCACACAACAAATATTTTCAACCCTTCTGACGATTGTGTGAAGTGTGATAAATCAATAACAAAATGCGTCAAAGACATTAAATTTTACACCTAGGATGGCACAAAAGAGCTTTATAGAAGGCGGTATCAAAATTGGACGGTGGGCGTGGCACCGCCCACTTTTATGTGAAATCACATATCTCGGGACCTGCTCGACCGAACATTCTTACAATAACCCGATGTTACAGTGCGAAAATGAAGGAAATAGGATTACAACCTCGCCTACTTCTCATATAGCATAATTTTAAATTCCATTTGATTCTTTCTCATTCCAGTATACGAATAAAGCACCAATTAATATATCGGAATAAAATTTTATACGAATAGTCCCTCTAAAGTGTGCCACCTTATGCCAAAAATTGTCCAAATCGAACCAAACTTTTCAAACCTTTAGGTATCGAAGATGTTAACCCCAGTGCCTATAGTTGACTTTTTACCGATAATGCTTTCCTGATGATAGTATATCTAAATGTCAAAAATGGGTTGAATTGGGTCAATATTTCTCTTAGCCCCCATATACTTAATATAAATATTTCCGAACTTCCGGGTGACTTTATAACGCATATACCAGCCAATATGTGAGTTATCTCAATAAAAATGAGAGAGCGTATTTTCTTAATAATAGTGTATCTTTGTGCCGTAATTAAATAAAATCGAAAATCGGGTGAAAACTTGACCTAGCCCTTATATAACTAATCACAGAATTTTCAAACACGGTAGAGAGCATTTTATTCTGCTAATAGTATGTTGTATTGCCAAAACTAGATAAAATCGAGTCAATACTACTCCTATCTCTCATATACCTAACATAAGATTTTCAAACTTCCGGTTAGCCTTATGACACACATATCTGTCAATATGTAAGATATCTTAGCAAAATTAACTGATTAATATTGGATATACTATAGTTAAGTGCTGAAAATATGTGAATTTAGCCTACGAATACCCCAACTTCCAAATATTACATATATTGATTTTCGTTATTTTAACAAACTTTATGCCGAACATTTCGTTCAATGTGTGAGTTATATGTTTATAAAATTGCTTGAAAATATAATCTCAAGTAACCTCCGCAATGTCAAAATTAACTCAAGTAGGCTCATTTCTCCCTTTAGCCTGTATAATAATTTCCGACTTTCCTCCTGACAAAATGTGTGAATAAAATTGTGTGGGAATATGAATAAAATTGGTCTAGAAATTGGTCCAAACCTTATGTCCCTAAAATAATAAATTGCGATCCTCTGACGTTTTCTCATTTGAAGCTGATTTAATATAATTTTAGCTGACGGGAAGAAAAATATAGTAAACAAAACTAAGTGAATCCTATAATATAATATAACTTAATAAAATAAAAAATTTGATTGGAATCAATTTACAATATCATCGAATATTGAATGTTGAATTGTTTCGCAAGATTTTTTAATACAAAGTTTTTCTAACACCTGAAAGTATTTTCCCTGCTTTGATCCTTGCAAGTTTCATGACCATAAATGTTCGGTTACACCCGACCTTAGCCCTTCCCTACTTGTTTTCTATCGTAAGACTTGCATGTGTTCATTCAGTAGCCATTCTCCGTGGAAATTGTGAATATCATTTTGCGAAAAAAGTATCAAGAATAAAGTGTGTAAAAATATTAAAGTAAACACTTCATTGTAAAACCAAGTCAAGAGTATAAAGAAACAAAAGTAAGAGAATTAATTAAAATAATAATAATAATGAAAAAAGTGAAGTGTTGTTTATAATAATTTTGTAAAGTTACTGTTGAGTATAGGCAATATTGGTCAATTGTGGCAACAACAACAATGTATATTTATTTATATTTTATATATTAAGATGCGTTTAAGAGGTCTAATGAAGAAAGCAATTGAAAAAATTTTTGACTAGGATGATTCTGCGGATGAGAAAAATTAAGAAAAAGAGCAGTTGAAAGAAGCAATCGAATTTTTCAACCAATTTTTTACAGACGAAATTTGGCAGAAGATTTGTGACGAAACAAACTTGTATGTGGAGCAAACTAATG